AAACATGGGCGACGTCATAATAGTGAAAAAGATATTGCGCTCTCTGATGCCAAAGTATGATTATGTTGTTTGCTCCATTGAGGAGTCAAAAGACATAGATGCACTATCGCTTGACGAATTGCAGAGTTCCTTATTGGTGCATGAGCAGAAGATGAACGGTAGTTCAACTTCCGATGAACAGACTTTGAAGGCTTCTACTTTTATTTCTTCTTCTAGTCCTAGAGGAAGGGATAGAGATAGAGGTCGAGGCAGAGGCAAAGGCGATCATGGAGGTAGAGATTCTAGCAGGAATTTCAAAGCAAATAATGACCAATCTCAAGGCAAAGGCAGAGGTCGAGATACTGACAAATCCAAGGTTGAATGCTACAGATGTCATAAATTTGGCCATTATGCATCTGAATGTTATACTAGGCTGCCTAATGATAAAGAAAAGGAAGAGAAGTCTAATTACGTGGAGAATAAGGAAGGGGAGACCTTGTTGATGGCAATTCAAGTAGAGAAGGAACCCGAGCAAGATGTTTGGTATTTAGACACAGGCTGCACTAATCACATGACTGGAAGTAAGTCTTGCTTTTCTTACTTAAATGAAGGCTTCCGTTCTAAAGTTAGTTTTGGTGATTGTTCTACTGTGGATGCAATGGGAAAAGGTGACATCAAGATTAAAACCAAGAATGGTTTTGTGGAAACAATCTCTAATGTGTTATATGTTCCCGACTTGAAAAGCAACTTACTGAGTGTTGGTCAGTTGCAAGAGAAAGGTTATGTCATCGCTATTAAGAAGGGTGAGTGTGAAATTTATGATCCTATGAGAGGAGCTATTGCAATAATTCAGTTGAGTTCCAACAGATTATTTCCCATAAAGATTGATAGTATTCAATCTTGTTTGATGACAGAAGTGAAGGATCCCTCATGGCTGTGGCATTTTCGTTATGGTCATTTGAGTTTTGGAGGATTGAAGACACTTCAGCAGAAGAATATGGTCACAGGTCTTCCTCAAATTACTGCTCCTTCACAAATTTGTGAAGAATGTGTTGTTGGAAAAAAACACCGATCTCAGTTCCCGAAAGGAAAATCATGGTGACCAAAGCATGTTTTGGAGTTGGTTCACTCTGACATTTGTGGATCAATAAGACCAATCTCTAATGGAGGCAAAAGGTATTTTATTACCTTTATTGACGATTATTCTCGAAAGACCTGGATATACTTTTTGCAAGAAAAATCAGAAGCTTTTAATGTATTTAGAATCTTCAAAGCTCACGTGGAGAATGAGACAGGAAGGACAATTAAGAGCCTCCAAACGGATCGTGGAGACGAATATTTCTCTAAGTCATTTGCAGAATTTTGTGGGACTCATGGCATTCGAAAAGAGCTCACAACAGCATATACACCACAACAGTATCGGAGAGGAAGAATAGAACCATTCTCAACACGGTTCGAAGCTTACTGGCTCGAGGAAGAGTTCCAAAGGCGTTTTGGCCAGAAGCAGTAAATTGGAGCACTCATGTTTTGAATAGAAGTCCAACATTTTCTGTTAAAAATATGACTCCAGAGGAAGCTTGGACCGGAAGGAAACCGGCTGTAGACCATTTCAGAATTTTTGGGTGCATTGCTTATGCACATGTCCCTGATGCAAAAAGAAAGAAGCTTGATGATAGAGGTGAAAAATGTGTTTTTCTTGGTGTTAGCGAAGCATCCAAGGCATACAAGAAGTTCAATCCTTTGACAAAAAAGGTTGTGACCAGCAGAGATGTTATTTTTGATGAAGAAAATACTTGGGATTGGATTATGCAGCAGTCTACTCCAATCTTCATTGATAATGAGGTCGAAGAAGCAGCTGCAATACCCCAAAATTCTGAAAGTTCTACTCCAGCAGCTGCTGAAATTTTACCATCAGCTTTGGAAGAAACTGATGCAGCGGATGAGTCTCTTCGTCGTGCTCGCAAAAGGCCTGCTTGGATGATGGATTATGAGGTAACCGGTATTAATATCAATGAGGAGACAATTGCTCATTTTGCATTGTTTGCAGATTGTGACCCAATAACTTTTGAAAGTGCTGTTCAAGAAGCAAAATGGAAGGAGGCAATGGATGTTGAAATTTCAGCAATTGAAAAGAATGACACTTGGGAGCTTACTGATCTTCCAAAAGGGAAAAAGTCAATTAGAGTCAAATGGGTTTATAAAACCAAACTCAATGAGAATGGTGAAGTTGACAAGTACAAGGCGCGCTTGGTGGCTAAAGGATATAAGCAAGAGTATGGTGTGGACTATAAGGATGTCTTTGCTCTAGTAGTTAGACTTGATACCATTAGGTTGGTGGTAGCATTGGCAGCCCAAAACAACTGGCCGATTTATCAACTAGACGTGAAATCAGCCTTCTTACATGGAGAATTGCAAGAGCACGTATATATAGATAAACCTTCTGGTTACGTAAAGCATGGCAGTGAACATAAGGTTTATAGATTGAAAAAAGCATTATATGGGCTAAAACAAGCTCCACGAGCTTGGTATAGTCGCATTAATGCTTATTTCAGTATGGCAGATTTCAAAAAATGCCCATATGAGCATACGCTTTATACAAAAATTGAAGATGGGAAGCTTGTCTTTGTATGCTTATATGTGGATGACTTGATCTATACTGGAAATGATCATGTGCTGCTTAAAAATCTTAAGCAATCGATGACGACTGAGTTTGATATGTCGGATCTTGGGTTGATGCATTATTTTCTAGGCATTGAAGTGAAGCAGACTTCTACTGGAATTTTTATCTCACAAAGGAAATATGTCCAGGAAATTTGATGAGATTTGAAATGCCAAAGTGTAATTCTGTCACCACACCAGCAGAGGCGGGGCTGAAGTTGGAGAAAGATCCCATAGGGAAGAAAATTGACAGCACCTTCTACAAGCAAATTGTGGGGAGTTTGATGTATTTAACAGCCACTAGACCTGATATAATGTACTCTGTAAGTCTTAGAAGCAGATACACAGAAAATCCTAAAGAGATTCACTTGTTGGCTGCTAAGAGAATTCTCAGGTATTTGTAAGGAACTATTGATTTTGGCATTCTGTACAAGAAAGAAGGAAAGTCAGATTTAATCGGCTTTGCGGATAGTGATTTTGCTGGAGATAAAGATGATAGAAAAAGCACATCCGGTTATGTTTTTATGTTTGGATCAGGTGCTATTTCATGGTGTTCCAAGAAGCAACCAATTGTTACTTTATCAGCCACAGAAGCAGAGTTTGTGGCAGCAATTGTGTCTGCTACTTAAGCAAATTGGTTAAAGAATATTCTTGCTGAACTTCGTCTTCTTCCGCAGAAATCAACTCCAATTTATTGTGACAATGGTTCAGCGATTAAGCTATCTAAAAATCCAGTTTTACACGGGAGGAGCAAACACATTGATGTGAAATTTCACTTCCTGAGAGATCTCACGAAAGAGAAGATCATTGATGTTGTCTACTGCAGAAGTGAAGACCAAGTTGCTGATATTTTAACCAAGCCTCTCAATTATGCAGCATTTGTGAAGCTGAGAAAGCTACTGGGAGTTTGCACTTTGAGGGAGTTTAGTTAATGTTTGTTTAGTCGTGGGTTTGTAAAAGCCTATATAATGGCTGTGCAAATAAATGTGTGAGCTTGCACTATTCAAATTCCCATCTTGTTCACTTTCTTATCTGCTCTATTTTATCATGTTTGCCGTCAAAACTTTTCATCTATTTATTGTAGATTAAAAAATGATTTTTGCGCCTATCTCCTCTTCTCCTCTAAAATCCTCTACTTTTCATTATATTTTAATTTTAATTTTCGAATGTTCAAGTGTCCATTAATAACGTCAAAAGATGATTAGAGTGAAATAACACAATAAAAATCAGGACATGTGCCAAAACTATAAATCATACACTCAATCAAATTATTTGCATATTAGTCTCAAGTTAGTTGAAATCGTAAATAATTCATTCTATCCCAATCAAATTCTAATATTTAGACAATTCACTATATATCAATTATTTTTACCTTAATTAACAACGTATCATATTCTCTTTCAACTGAACTCAAGGGTGCACCATCACCATCTATAATTTAGTGGTATAGAGGAACAGTCTCATGAAATAGGTATGGATTCAATACCTCATTGTTCCCTTCCACTTCTCCTTCTGCCTCCCAATGTAATAAAAGAAGTTGTAGAAGAAAAAGATCTAAGGGATCCAAATAATATTTTTACCAGTGTTTTGTACGCCGGGGCGTTTGAAGCGCGTTTTTGTAGTGAGGCGTAAGCCCTAGAGACTTTTTCAAATTAAAATAAATTTATTGAATAAGTCCTTCATATGTTACCCAAATTCTCAAAAGTCAGCTTGTAATTACTTAAAAGTTTTAAAAAGGAACTGAAACGTATTAAATTTAAAAGTCAACACCTTTTTTATTGATTGAAGCCCTAATTTATGGTCTTTCTCAATTCTTTATCTTGTCCACTAGTCTGTTAATATCTCTCGAAAGCAACGAATATTCAATATTTTTTTTTTACAAATACAAAGAGAACTTCATTCTCCTTCATAGCAACAAGTTTAAAGTTTAAATTGCAGGTTAGTCTTCTTTTTTATTCCTCCATGTAGAAAACTTTATTCTTTTCGACTCAAGTTATTCGTGTTTGTAAGTAGCGTATAATAGATTATTTTAACTAGTTTTTTGTGGGGATGGAGCACATGTCTCTCTCCATAATAGCGCACACGTGTGTATACATACATATATATATATACATACATACATACATATATATACATATGTATGTATGTGTGTGTATATATATTCACATATTTATAGTTTTCTTTAATTTTTATATAATTTTATCTGTGTATTATAATTATATTATTTTATAAAACATTAAAAATTAAATACCAATGGGGCTTGCCTTCTATTAAAACACTGATTTTTACTCATTTATTTAGCTTTTTCGTTTAGCTAAAAACGACGCCGTCTAAAAATCTGAAAAGACATGCTTGTTTTTTCCTCCGCCTCCGCCTCCTCCTCTGGCCACTCAGATTATTCCAGTTCCAAAAGAAATATAAAACGAGCTCCTTTTTCTGATTAATGCTCATAAACCCTACCCAAAATCATAAAAAAACAAAAAATCTAAAACCCCAAACACGCATAAAACACACAAAAAGGTGCAAGCATAGGGCTGAGATTGAGACCTCAAGTTCACCTTCTTGGTCGGAACATGGCGTCATCTCCGGTAACAATGATGAAGATAAAGGTACACGACTGCTCTCCGCCGTCAACCGCCGCAGCTCGGCTCCTACCGTTTTTTCGGCGCCACCAAATTCACTTCCGTTCCTCTGTGGGTCCCCTTCAGAACCCATGTTTTCCCAGAACCATCATCACGCGTGCATCTCGCTCATCTTTTTCCTCTTCCTCCGTCATCACTGGTAAATTCTGTTAAAAATATCGCACAGTCAATTCATTTAATTTTCATATGATGAATCAAAGTTGCAAATACTATAAATCACAGTTTCTTATAGTTTAAAAGTTAAAAAAGAATTGGTAATTTTGCTTTAGGTTGGATGAATAAAAAGCTTAAGCTAGAAAATGATCTTTTATAGGATTCAAAGATCTAATGGGATTTTTTTATGGTATAGATATACAAAGTTCAGACCTTTAGTCAATTAACTGCCGAATTTGTTCGGATAGATATATCTTGTAAACTTAGTTTCTCAATTTAGCAACTTCACCTTTCACTGCAAGACTTCACTTTGACCAACGAATATATAGTTTTAATACTTAGTATTTGAAGAGTTATGACTTCATTGAGCTTTAGTAGTTGTAGGTAAGCTAGTTGAGAATTTCGTGTGTTCAGAGTGTTGGTGTTTGGCTCGCTATTTGGCTTTGTTGGATTCATTCTGCCTATTATTCTTAACGTTTTTCATTATTCTCGTTATTGTGCAGCCTCAATGACTACTGAGGCATCAGCAAAAGTTATTGATGGGAAAAAAATTGCAAAAGATGTCAGAGATGAAATAACTGCTGAAATATCTAGGATGAAAGATTCGATAGGTGTTGTTCCTGGCCTGGCAGTTGTACTTGTTGGGGACAGGAAGGATTCTGCAACTTACGTCCGCAACAAGAAAAAAGCTTGTGAAGCTGTTGGGATCAAATCGTATGAAGTGTGTTTGCCTGAAGACTCAACAGAAGAAGAAGTTCTCAAGTATATCTCAGGCTTCAATGATGATCCTATGGTTCATGGAATTCTTGTTCAGCTACCGTTACCCTCTGTATGCTACCATACTTCATTCATTGTCTTTTATTGCTGAATTCTTAAGAGTTATGAATGTTATAGGCATGGCTTGATCTGAATAAGATTCAAAATGGATATAGATGAATTAATATGTTCCCAGAATTATGTCTGAAATATTGGATTTTAGAGTAAGAAACCATAAGCTTGCCTCTGCTCAATTTGTCAGATAGTACACGAAGACATTATTTGTGGTTCCCAATCAGATTTTTGTTGTGTAGTTTCACCAAGCTAGTGTCTCAACATATTTTACTTCTTTTAGAAGCGGTAATTGGTATTAAACATATAGTTGCTTGAATTGAAGTTTGATCTAACTTTGACTGACTAGTTTATTATTTTCTGAATGGATTTTGTGTATTATTATAGATGTAACTCGTGGATGCATTTTATGTACACTTGAGTAATTGTGCATTCTAGCATGCTCATGCTTCTACTTAAGCAATTCCTGCCAATGCAATAATCTTATCCTTTCTTGTTGTACTCATCACATGCAATATAGCATGTTGATATATAAGGTTCAATTGAATTATAACTCTTTAACAGGTGTGTGAATGGAACAAAAATCTCTTCTTTTGTTGCACGCGTGTGTGGTTGATTCATATGTCTATCATATTGCTGTATGATGCAAAAAATGCTTTGTTGGACTAGCTCTTTGTTGTTAAAGATGAGTTAATAGATAAAGAATAAAAAGCTACAGTACTTAGATAGTTATTAATGTCTTTTTAGGCTGTTGTCTTCTAATTATTGATTAATATGTATTTATCAACTTTGGATCAGCATATGAATGAACAGAACATCTTAAATGCTGTTTGCATTGAGAAGGATGTGGATGGATTCCACCCACTAAATATTGGCCGGCTAGCGATGCGAGGTAGAGAACCATTATTTGTTCCATGTACACCTAAAGGATGCATTGAGTTGCTGCATCGGTATAATGTGGAGATCAAGGGGAAAAGAGCTGTTGTTGTTGGCAGGAGTAATATCGTCGGAACGCCGGCTGCTCTGCTTCTGCAGGTAATATACTAGTGTGCAATGAGTTTCTTTCTAATAGCATGGTATTGAACTCTTATAATATCTATGTAATTATTTTTGTCCTTCTCTATGTTCTTCCTGTATTTACCCTAGAGGGAAGATGCCACTGTCAGCATTGTCCATTCCAGAACCAAGAAACCTGAGGAGATCACGAGACAAGCAGATATCATAATCTCAGCTGTAGGTCAACCAAACATGGTTAGAGGCAGCTGGATCAAGCCTGGGGCTGTGATTATTGATGTCGGGATCAATCCTGTTGAGGTGTGAAATCTACGAACTGTCTCCTTATTCTCATCCCTTGTCATTATGCATTATACTTGTGTATGATATTGCCTCTCCTCGTGATCCTCTTAAAACAAAGATATAAAATGTGCATGGGCATATGCTTGTTCGTAAGGCCAGTTAAAGAATGTATTAGCCATTTTATGGTGGATAATTCAAAGATCACAACTTGTCACCCTAATTAACAAAAAATCAAAACGTGAAAAAGGAAAGAGATCACAGCTTCTTACTTCCTGTAATGCATGTTTTCCTTCTCATTGCCCCTTGATGACAGCTGATGTTTATGTAAACAGGATGCTACAAATCCTCGTGGCTATCGGCTAGTTGGAGATGTTTGTTATGAAGAGGCCAGCAAAGTTGCTTCAGCTATCACTCCTGTTCCTGGGGGAGTTGGACCCATGACTATAGCAATGCTTCTCTCTAATACTTTGTTATCAGCAAAGCGAATTCACAACTTCAACTGAGATTTTAAAATTCGTTACTCTAGGTAGGTGGTGCATATCTTTGAGCTTCAGATGGCTTCCTAACTAGTCTAGATTCGCATTGGATAGGCCCACATAAGGGGGTAAAACGCTCCCTAGTTTTCTATTCTCGGGGCACAAACTCGAGTCCTCCGGTTAATGGTAGAGGGATCCTAATTATTCCACCACATTCCTTGGTAGTTTTTATTTACTTTGCTCCATCATCAAAGTTTAGCATGTATTTTCTACCTTTCTTATATCTTATATCCCATTTGGACGTGGCACAACATAAGTATAAATGTTGAAAATATATGTCCGACATAAAATAAGGAGTGGTGGACGTGACTTTTTACTTTTTGATGGATATAGCGGAAAAGGTTACACCAAGAATTACAAAAGTTGGTTGTGTAAGACCTTTTCCTTTTCATTTTGGTTTTTTTTTTAATTATACTGAAGAAAAATACTCAATTTAGGATGAAGTTTTGCCAAAATATGACAATTATTAAAGAGTTAAAAGTCCCTAAAACTTTTTTCATTAGTTATAATTATTTATATTAGTAAGATTTTTTTTAAGTTAACAAAACATTAACATTTGTTTTAATACACTACACTGGTTATAGTTATCAAATATTTTATTACTTGATGTGAATATTTGCATAATTTAACTTAAAATTTTAAAATATTAGACAATGTTATATTGTGGAATATGCAAAAGAAAACTTAAAACCTTGAAAGAACAATTGTTAAGACAGTACAATTTTTTCTTGGTTATCCAAATTAATCATGTCTATTTGTCCAACTGTTATCATATTAGTAATGCTATTTCCTCACATCTTCCTAAGTTTTGGTTTTAGGCATCCGATTTTATTGAGCCGCTGCCTTTGTGGACAGTTTTACCTGTCTATTAAAGCTCAAAAGAAATACTAGTATAACGTGTAATTTTGATTTAAAGATCCTTTTGGACTCGTATGTTAGAACTTAGAGTTACAATAGGCAATTATTACTAGTTGCTGATTTTAGGATATTAGTCGTCACTAGTCTCCAAAGACCTGCTTCTTTTTCTTTGTAAATTATATTTTTGTTTCTTTAAAGTAATTAATTTATCTTTAATATTGTAATTGAGAATATTTTATTATTTCTTGCAGCACAGTACAGTACTCTCATTGCTGAAATTCCTTGCCGGCACGTCGAACGCCCCTCAAAAACTAAACATACATGCTAATTTGGGTTCCCCTACGTCCATTCATCTCCCAGCTACAATGCATTGGGACATAATTTCTAAACTTGGCAACCATTCTTGACCTAGTAAGTCCTTCAGTAAAGATACTTTGAATTATACTTCTTCTTTTGGGTTATGGTTATGCTGAAACATATGCTATTCTAATTGCAGTTAGTATTATGTGTTACGTGGAGAGGAATAGGAGGTATGCCACATTCGACATATTTGATGAAAGAGATCATCAGTTAATCACCAATCACCATTACTGATACCGTAAGCAGCATGCACTTCAATGTAGGGTGCTTATCGGGCCGATAATTACGTTTAACGGTTCGGTTTATCGGTTATCGGATTATAAATATAGTAATCCGCTAGCCATCCAATAAGACAACTCGGCTAAATCGAATAGAATTTTGTTTATCATAGCATCTTGCTGCTCTAGCTTCACAACTTGATCATATGTTGTTCTAATATATATTCGAGGCACTTTCTTTGCACATGACAATAAATTCCACAATATATTATGTACATGTTGGATATGAGACTATCTCAATCACTGCACCCAAATGAAACAGCAGCCTTAATTATCAAGCCAAATCACAGGAATGGAGCAGAGAAGAAAGAACTGTGATCACTTTCCATTGGCCTTTTTCTTTTCTTTTTAATTATAGCATCTTGCTGCACTTTCTCTGTTCTAATGTATATGTTGTTCTCATATCCAACATGTACATAGTATACTGTGGGATCTATTACTCTGGAACAAATTTTTTTAATACTTCTGTAAATATAAAAAATTTTAACGAGTTAACGGTTTATCCGATAAGAAAATTGAGTAATCCATCCCCAAACAGTTAAGCCGTTAATTATAAAATTTCAATCCGTTCACCATCTGTTACTCCAATAACAATAAGCAATAAGTCATCGATTCGATTAACGATTATGATTCGGTTTTAAACGGCCCTAGGTGAACGAAGGAGTTGACCCTATTAGGTTTCATCTTGCTACAGCCCCAATTTCTGCCTACACGTGGTCATCTTATAATGCCACCACAGTGACCATCATTCAAAGGGGCGTCGATTCCTAAATTATATTCCCACTTGGGGAGCTGGGGCAAACCGTATATACATACTTGTAAACCAGCCTTTTACTAAACTACAGCTGGTTATGCCAATAAATAATTTCTTCTATACAAACTTTACAAATGTGGCATTAAATAAAAACACCATACTTGCCTTTGCATTCCTTCCCCTTTTTTTTGGTGGTTTCTTGGGTCCAAGCAATGCAAAATCATATCGATAGTGTTCACCTTAGTTCCCTACTAAATAAGAACGTACTGCGGTTTGTCCTTGTCCAGATAGTCTCAAAGGTTTTTGACTCAAAAATAAGTTTTACCAGTCATACTGACATTTTTGCTAAGGAAGTCGTTTTTCGTGAAAAATATATTCTAATAGTTTGTTGGTAAGTTAATATACTTTACAAAAATATACATATTCAAAGTTATGTTGGCACATTGTAGAGAGTTCTGATGAAAATATGTGTAAAGAATTAATGGCTAAGTATCAACTAGAGCAACTGATATATGAAGTAGGCGTTTGGACATAAGAATTGTAAAATTCCAAAAATGGTGGAAAAAAATTTCAAGTGAAAATGGTATTTAAAATTTAGAGTTGTGTTTGGACATAAATTTCAGTTTGGAATGTTTTTGAAGTTTTGTGAGTGATTTGAGTGAAAATTTTGAAAAACAACTTTTTGGAATTTTTCAAATTTCGAAAATTTCCGAAATGCATCTTCAAGTGAAAATTTGAAATTTTACGAACAAACGCTGATTTCGAAAAAAAAAGTAAAATTTTTTTTGGAAACAAGGAAAAAAAATTGTATGTCCAAACGGGCTCGAAGTGAAAAGTTAAAATACTTGTTAAGAAAATAACATGTCCACAAGTGAAGGAAATCACTTTCCCTCTTTAAATGGAAAATGTTTTTCCTCAAAACCATTTTATTATAACAAACATCGAAAATGACTCATAAAAATGACACCACTTGTACAAACACCCAATAATTTTCTCTGCTTTTACTTTTATCTATTTATACATTGACGGAAGCTATTTTCAACTCGCGCTTTTAAGATAAGCTGCTTGACAGCATATAAATGTATAACAAGATGGGATACAAAGATGCAAATGAAAATCAACTCATCAACTCTGAACATGGTGCCTTTCTTGGGTCAGTCTTGCTCTGCATGACCCAAAGAGCATGTTTGATTTGTATGCTTAGTGCGACTACAACCTGAATAATAAGCCAACATGGAATAGCAAAACGCTTTCTGAACTGCGATTGTAACTAGAAACGCCTAATGTCTTTTGGAGGCTTAAAATGAAGAGGATGAGTTTCTGGTGTGGCAGTTTCATCTTCTTTCCACATCTTGATTGTCTTATCAGCTTCACAACTGATCAGCCTTGAGCCAGTCATATCGTAGGTGAGCGCGTAGATGCCTGCTTCACTGTCCAGTGATCCTGAAACATGGTAAGGATTAGAATAAACCTTATGCTCCTCTTGACCAACAATAAAAGTAAACATCAAATTATCACACGCATACCAGGTTGAACAATAGTTTGAGATTGCTGGAAATTGTGACCACTTCTCCAATCCCAAAACCACATGCTTCCATTGTCACCTTCACAAGGAGATACACAATGCATCAGCAGAGTACATCACTAACCTCCAGCTTAAAAACCAGAATGAGGAAAGCAGGGGTTGGAGGGGCGGAACAAAAAATAAGAGGAATGGGCGGATGGGGAGTGGCATTAACTATTTCTCACCTCCTGTGGCCATTACGCCATCATCATTGACCGCCATCGCATTGACTATGGTTGGGAGCTGGAAAAAGGAAATGTCGACATGATCTTAGATTCTAATTTAAGAAATAAGGATATTCAATATGATGTAAGATACATTAAATATGTAGAGGTAAAATTTCTATGGCATGTCATCGTAACTTAGAGCATGTTATGCATAAATTCTCCTTTTGGAAGGTTGAATTTTTTTATGTTGTCTGCTGATGCAGAAGCAAAACAATCCCTGCCGCAGAATAAATTTTAAGAAAAATTAGTGGTGTACTCCGAGCAGAAGTTAGGGAATCATAAAAATAGCAGCATGTGCCATGTAAACATACTCCGTGGGAAGTTGAGCCATAGCTCGAACAGATTTCTTGTGATGTGTGAGGGTTGCCATTGTCTTACCTGCCAGACAAGGACAATTAGTAATCACAGGAAGTCAGAAACTGAAACCATTATAAAATAAACAGAGCATAAAATCCCAGTAAGGAAATCTGAGTTACCATATCTAAGGTCCCAGAACTTAATGGTACTGTCATGAGAGCCAGTTATAACCTGTGGATCCTGAAATGAAACTTCCCATCATGAAATCTGATTGTAATACGTAGACCATACAGCAAGAATAAAACAGTCATTAGCATATGATTATGACATCAACAAAATGAGACACCTTGCATAATGTTTTTAGTAGAGCCGGCTCCCACGAGTAATTTGCTTCTTAAAATAACAGAATTTCCAGCAACAGCACCCTAGTTGTGCTAATTATATGGAAATCACTTCTAAAAAGAATACATACGTACGTGGAAGCATTAGTAGTTGCTAAGGTTTAACTGTCTCGTGAAGGTATATCTGTTTTATTGGTGTGAATCCTCCTTATCAAGAAACATCCAGCCATCCCATCTTAAACCAGAAAGTATCCACAGAAGGCCATTCAAATGCGCTCATAGAGATTTTAGCTTAAAATAAATAGCATAAAAGCACAATATATCTTTATATTAAATATTTCGCCGGTTCCATCTGATTACTAGCTAAACCACCACCATCTGGTTTTCAAACCAAATATTTTGGTTCAGAGAACTATTTTGTTACTTTTTAAATAACACCAAACACAAAAGACAACCCAAGACATGTTACAAAAGACAACCCACGACATGTTTTTCGTTTCCACAAGAGGTCAGCCCCTAATTTTTGTAACTTCTCTTCATTTTTTTTAATAGGTATGTCTTTAACTTCTATACCTTCCCTTCAACATTACAAATTACAACCCAGCACCAACCCCTACCCTCTTTTTTCCCCTTTTTTAGCCAGTACAGATTTAATCTTTCTATTTTTTCTTCAATAAAAAGTTAATGTGAAATAGATTTGGTAGCATCAAAGATGTGAAGTCGGTTATTAATTATTAGGTTCACCCATTTGAGAATCTCAAAAAGAGTTAGATCAGCTAGAGATGTCTGGATGAGCACCCGTGAAGTCGAGGGGCCGGGAATAGAAATATGTGCAAGTACGAGTTGACTTATTCTCCGTCTCATTGAAGAAGTATTACACATGTACCTAATAAAAGTTTTTTTTGGTTTGGTAGCCAACCTTATTGACTTGGTTTGGTTGGTAGTCAACCTTGTTGAATTAGTTTGGTTTGGTAGCCAACTTTGTTGAATTTCTTTGGTTTGGTAGCCAACTTTGTTGAATTGTGAAAAGTGTGTGTAAATTGTCAAATATGGTAGGCTTTAGAGAGTGAAGCTTTGGCTATAAAAGGAGAGCTTCAACTCTCATTTCTATACACACCAACAAAGAGAGAAAGAAAGAGTGAGGTTTCACAGACAAGGTATAAAAAAATAGTCTGTGAGGAAAATAGAGAGTGAACGATATTGTAGTGAGGTGGGAATATCAAAAGAGGGTTATTTCTTTTGAGTGTTGTAGTGGTCTTTGGAGTATTTATCTCCGACCTACAAAGTGTAAAATTCCTTACTATAGTGATATCAGTTGCTCCTCTTGGGGCCGTGGTTTTTTCCCTTATTAAAAGGGTTTTCCACGTAAAAATCTTGGTGTCGTTGTTACTCTTTTATTCTTGTTAATTACCGTATCTCGGTGCTACATTATTATTCCGCTTTTTTACCGTGAATATTATTTTGGTAAGGGGTTTATTCCCAACAACTGGTATCAGAGCACAGGTTCTGCTCGTTCACTGAAATACTATTCACTGTCGGTAGTACTATACTTGGTGAAAAATAAAAATGTCCGGAGTAAAGTACGAGGTAGCAAAATTCAACGGAGATAACGGTTTCTCAACATGGCAAAGAAGGATGAGAGATCTGCTCATCCAACAAGGATTACACAAGGTTCTAGATGTTGATTCCAAAAAGCCTGATACCATGAAAGCTGAGGATTGGGCTGACTTGGATGAAAGAGCTGCTAGTGCAATTAGGTTGCACTTATCAGATGATGTGGTAAATAACATCATTGATGAAGACACTGCACGTGGAATTTGGACAAGGTTGGAAAGCCTATACATGTCCAAAACGCTGACAAATAAATTGTACCTGAAGAAGCAGTTATACGCCCTACACATGAGTGAAGGTACGAATTTTTTGTCACATTTAAATGTGTTTAACGGACTAATCACACAGCTTGCCAACCTCGGAGTGAAAATCGAGGAAGAAGATAAAGCCATCTTGCTATTGAACTCGTTGCCATCTTCGTACGATAATTTGGCAACAACCATCCTGCACGGTAAGACTACTATTGAGTTGAAAGATGTCACATCGGCTCTTCTACTCAATGAGAAGATGAGAAAGAAGCCTGAAAATCAAGGACAGGCTCTCATCACAGAAGGTAGAGGCAGGAGTTATCAAAGGAGTTCGAACAACTATGGTAGATCCGGAGCTCGTGGGAAGTCAAAGAACCGATCCAAATCAAGAGTCAGAAATTGCTACAACTGTAATCAACCAGGTCACTTCAAAAGAGATTGCCCAAATCCAAGGAAGGGCAAAGGTGAAACCAGTGGCCAGAAGAATGACGACAACACAGCCGCCATGGTGCAAAATAATGATAATGTTGTCCTCTTTATAAATGAGGAAGAGGAATGCATGCACCTGTCAGGTCCAGAGCCGGAATTGGTGGTTGACGCAGCGGCATCTCACCATGCCACACCGGTAAGAGATCTTTTTTGCATATATGTAGCAGGTGATTTCGGCACAGTGAAAATGGGTAACACAAGTTACTCAAAGATTGCGGGGATTGGTGACATTTGTATCAAGACAAATGTCGGATGCACATTGGTTCTAAAGGATGTGCGGCATGTACCTGATTTACGGATGAACTTGATCTCGGGAATTGCTTTAGACCGAGATGGATACGAGAGCTATTTTGCAAATCAAAAGTGGAGACTTACTAACGGATCATTGGTGATTGCAAAGGGAGTTTCTCGTGGCACGTTGTACAGGACAAATGCAGAAATATGCCAAGGTGAATTGAACGCGGCACAAGATGAGATTTCTGTAGATTTGTGGCACAAAAGAATGGGTCATATGAGCGAGAAGGGATTGCAGATTCTTGCCAAGAAATCACTCATTTCTTATGCCAAAGGTACAACGGTAAAACCTTGTGACTACTGTTTATTTGGTAAGCAGCATAGAGTCTCATTTCAGACATCGTCTGAAAGAAAATTGAATATACTTGATTTAGTATATTCTGATGTTTGCGGCCCAATGGAAATTGAATCAATGGGCGGTAACAAATATTTTGTTACTTTTATTGATGATGCTTCACGAAAATTATGGGTTTATATTTTGAAAACCAAAGATCAGGTGTTTCAAGTTTTCCAGAAGTTTCATGCTCTAGTAGAAAGGGAGACGGGTCGAAAGCTAAAGCGTCTCCGAAGTGACAATGGAGGTGAGTACACTTCAAGGGAATTTGAAGAGTATTGTTCAAGTCATGGGATCAGACATGAAAAGACAGTTCCTGGAACCCCACAGCACAATGGCGTAGCCGAGAGGATGAACCGCACCATTGTGGAGAAGGTGAGAAGCATGCTCAGAATGGCTAAACTGCCTAAGTCATTCTGGGGTGAAGCAGTTCAGACAGCCTGTTACCTGATCAATAGGAGTCCATCAGTTCCGTTGGCGTTTGAAATCCCAGAGAGAGTCTGGACCAACAAGGAGGTGTCCTACTCGCATCTGAAGGTGTTCGGTTGCAGAGCTTTTGCACATGTACCAAAAGAGCAGAGAACAAAGCTGGATGATAAATCTGTTCCCTGCATATTTATCGGATATGGAGATGAAGAGTTCGGGTACAGACTGTGGGATCCTGTAAAGAAGAAGGTCATCAGAAGTAGAGATGTAGTCTTCCGAGAAAGTGAAGTTGGAACTGCTGCTGATATGTCAGAAAAGGCGAAGAATGGTATAATTCCTAACTTTGTTACTATTCCTTCTACTTCTAACAATCCCACAAGTGCAGAAAGTACGACCGACGAGGTTGCCGAGCAGGGGGAGCAACCTGGTGAGGTTATTGAGCAGGGGGAGCAACTTGATGAAGGTGTCGAGGAAGTGGAGCACCCCACTCAGGGAGAAGAACAACCTCAACCTCTGAGGAGATCAGAGAGGCCAAGGGTAGAGTCATGCAGGTACCCTTCCACAGAGTATGTCCTCATCAGTGATGAGGGGGAGCCAGAAAGTCTTAAGGAGGTGTTGTCCCATCCAGAAAAGAACCAGTGGATGAAAGCTATGCAAGAAGAGATGGAATCTCTACAGAAAAATGGCACATACAAGCTGGTTGAACTTCCAAAGGGTAAAAGACCACTCAAATGCAAATGGGTCTTTAAACTCAAGAAAGATGGAAATGGCAAGCTGGTCAGATACAAAGCTCGATTGGTGGTTAAAGGCTTCGAACAAAAGAAAGGTATTGATTTTGACGAAATTTTCTCACCTGTTGTCAAAATGACTTCTATTCGAACAATTTTGAGCTTAGCAGCTAGCCTAGATCTTGAAGTGGAGCAGTTGGATGTGAAAACTGCATTTCTTCATGGAGATTTGGAAGAGGAGATTTATATGGAGCAACCAGAAGGATTTGAAGTAGCTGGAAAGAAACACATGGTGTGCAAATTGAATAAGAGTCTTTATGGATTGAAGCAGGCACCAAGGCAGTGGTACATGAAGTTTGACTCATTCATGAAAAGTCAAACATACCTAAAGACCTATTCTGATCCATGTGTATACTTCAAAAGATTTTCTGAGAATAACTTTATTATATTGTTGTTGTATGTGGATGACATGTTAATTGTAGGAAAAGACAAGGGGTTGATAGCAAAGTTGAAAGGAGATCTGTCCAAGTCATTTGATATGAAGGACTTGGGCCCAGCACAACAAATTCTAGGGATGAAGATAGTTCGAGAGAGAACAAGTAGAAAGTTGTGGCTATCTCAGGAGAAGTACATTGAACGTGTACTAGAACGCTTCAACATGAAGAATGCTAAGCCAGTCAGCACACCTCTTGCTGGTCATCTAAAGTTGAGTAAGAAGATGTGTCCTACAACAGTGGAGGAGAAAGGGAACATGGCTAAAGTTCCTTAT